GATGCAACTATATGCACGTTCATGTGGCGCAAATACAAGAAAAACGAATAATCAAACCCGTGCGTATTCGTATCAACGGCGCCACAATTGTAGATCAGACCTTTTCTGAACAAATGCCACCACAATTTTAATTGATAAGGGATTAAAATGGCATGAGCATCAACATCTTGATTTTTTCTAAAAGATAGCGATAACTGATAACTAATAACTTACCATTCATTTTGAAATCACGGCGGTAGGTACACCAACACATGGCACTGAAAACAGCAAAAGACGGAATGGCGGAATGTCGTATGGAGCCCTAAAACGCAGCTCGAATTGAGCCCGAAAAGGAAGACGAACTGATGCCGCTTTCGGGGCTAATGTACTTTGAGCCCGAAAAGGGCGCCTAACTGATCCCGATTTTAAAATCATACAGATTTGAGCCCTGTTTTGGCACTCATATGAGCCCTTATTCAAAAATGTTCTCAAAGTGTTTTCTGAGTGTGGGGCGCCCGGCAATGAGGGGGCGGCATTTATTCCGTTCCCCTGGGATGGGCCCCTATCGGTGTGGAGGCGTCGCCGTCGTATTATGTTTGAAATGGGGGCACCTCTGGGTGGTAATAGATGCATTCATTTCGCTGGGACACCTACCAGCGTTGATTGCCTGTATTCATTCATTTCGGGCTCCTATCGGTGTTGAAAGGCGGCATTTATTTCACTGGGGCGTCACAAACCTGCTACTCCCACCATAAACCTGATGACATTCAGTGGCGGATCCTGGGGGGGGTCCACGGGGTCATGACCCCCCCCAAAAGGTCTGAGAGGGTCATTTGACCCCCCCCAAAAGCCGAAGACCTAAATGCGCTATAGACGCCGTCTTGCATGCTCAAAATCACATGTCAAACACTTCTGAGCTAATACCTTTGTTTTTCTGGATCGTGTTGCGTGAAAAGGCGTATTGAAGGCCAGAATCTTACTCATTTTTGTCTCAACCGTGCGAGCACCAGGGGATGATCCAGGAAAACTCCAAGGGGATGGTCATGAATTTAATTCGTGGTGCCCCTACCTATACGCAAAATTAAAAACTCAACGGATTTCGGCCACTTAATTTTGGTGATGTCCTATTTCCATTTTTTTATTTTGTTTGTTTTATTTTTAGTGCCCCTGGGCCCTGGCAGGTCAAAATCACGTCGGAGGCGAAAGAAATTCACGGGAATCCCAAAAATCACGTCAGGACATTCAGGGCACTCTGACCAGCCTGACAGCTAGGGCCCTTCTTACTTCCTGGGGCCTCCAGTGAATAACCGCTAGTGTCTGTGTCGGCCCCTCTGACTCCTCAGTAGGTAGGAGGCCCTCTGTAGAGGAGACCCTCTGTGGAAAGGAGACCGCCTGAATGCAGAAGGCCCTCTGAAGAGAGGAGACCCGCTGTAGAGAGAAGGCCCTCTGAAGAAAGGAGGCTCTCTGTAGAGAAGAGGCCCTCTGAAGAGAGGAAGCCCTTTGCAGAGATGAGGTCCTCTGGCTCTTTGAAGAGAGGAGGTCCTCTGTAAAGGAGGCCCTCTGAAAGGGAGAGACCCTCAGTAGAGAGGAAGCCCTCTGTAGAGAGGAAGCCTTCTGTAGTTAAGAGGCCCTGTGAAAAGAGGAGGCCCGCAGTAGAGATCGGTGGTCCTCTGTAGAGAGGAGACCCCCTCTGTGTTTTGACAAATGTTTTTGCAAATTTTTCGCGGCGCTTCGCGCCGCCGATTCATGTACATACGTACAGGTCAATATGAAATCGTGACTGTAATTACATAAACCAACCGTGTCAAATTGAATCAGAATTCATATGTGTACTGTGAAGAAACTCCGGCTTGTACTGCCATGCTAAAAGGGTGGTAAAATTTGTGTTTTGGAGCGGAGCTGTGTTTTGACACATTCTTTTGCAAATGTTCTCGGCGCTTCGCGCCGCCGATTTATACACCAATCAATAAGAGAGATCGTGACTGTAATAACACCAACCGTGTCAAATTGAATCGGAATTCATATGTGCACTGTGAAGGAACTCCGGCTTGTACTAGCATGCTAAAAGGGTTGTAATATTTGTGTTTTAGAGCTGTGTTTTGACAACTTTTTTCAAATTTTTGCGGCGCTTCGCGCCGCCGATTCATACACAGGTCAATAAGAGAGATCGTGACTGTATGCTACTAATGCATTGGGCATTAGACTAATGCATAAGTGAGGTAACTATATCTACTACTTCTGGGTTTTTAAGTCGGTCGATCCGCCCCCCCCCCCCAGTAAAAAAATCCGTGGCGACGCTCCTCTATAGGTGGGTTTCACTAACTAAAACTACTGAGCCGAGTGACTTACGATAAAACTTCAACTCAGAAACGACGAAGATCAAATGTCATTTGATCTCGACATACTCGCTCCCTACCCCCCCCCCCCCCCCCCGGTCGTCAGAATTCATTCATCAGACCTGGCATGTCGGCCGACTGGTGACCCCCCCCAAAACGTTCCCCTAGATCCGCCCTTGATGACATTGAGCCAGGATGTCCGTTCCGAAGGGCTAACGTGATACTGATGACACCACTGAATGCAATAGTGCAGTGCAGCCCAGGCGGCATGCTGCTTACCGGCCTGCAATTATTTTATTTATTTATTTATTTATTTATTTATTGCATGTCTTAGTGGGATCCAACAATGTTGGCTTTTACCGCCACAGTGTCAAAGTACATAAAGGACACGTATATCACACAGTCGTTGAAGCAGATTTCAGAGAACATGAGATAAAAATAGGTATGCCCACGCGAGTGTGATAAAACGTATAAAATTATATAAAAGTACGCACATGGCACAGCTTGGCTAAAAATCACAGACAAAAAAAAAAACGGATGATAGGTGGCGCATCTATGACTGGCTCGCGTATGCTGCTCTTACGCTGGCTCGGAAAGTGGTCGGGTTGATGTTTTGTCGCTGCTCGTTGGGCAGACGGTTCCATGTCCGTAAAGCACGAACTGGCACGGTCTTGTGTGTGACCTCCATCCTGCATCGCGGTGCGTGTAGGACACCGTCGGTGGCCGAACGAGTGGTCCGCTCGGACACATCCGCTCGGGCACACACAAGCGATCTCAGGGCTTGTGGAGTGTCGGTGCAGTGCACAAGTCTGTGCACTAAAGCACAGTCTCTGAGCTCGATTATTTCGGCAAATTTCAACCAGCCCAGTTGTCTGCGAGCGGCTGAAACGTGATCGGTTTTCTTTTTACCGGTGATTATGCGGATGGCGAAGTTCAGCATCTTCTCGATGCGATGTTGTAGCTGATGCGTGGGCGGAGCCCATGCAGGCAGGTAGTAGGTGACGTGAGGCATGACCAGGGTTTGGATGAGCGTTGTCATGGTGGAGGGAGGCAGCGTGCCTCTCAGCTTCCTGAGCGTGACGAGGGTGCCATACCCGCGCTGCACGACACGGGCTGTCTGTCGTTCCATCGACAGAGTCTGATCAAGTAAGACGCCGAGAAACTTCATGTGTTCAGTGCGTTCCAACCTGATGCCGTCGAAGGTGATGTTGAAGTTGGTTACTTTTTTGACAGACGAGGTAGTTCCTACCAGTGTCATCTCTGTTTTGTCAGGGTTGACTTTCAGTCCGTTGCACCGGAACCATGCAGCCACCGCTCCCAGATCAGCCTCTACGTTCCGCTGAAGCTCAGCAAGACCGTCCGCGGTGGGGAGCGTGCTGTGCATAAGGACGGTGTCATCAGCATACGATACTACCTTGCAGTTGGCGGACAGATGACATGGCATGTCATTCGTGAGGGTGTTGAAGAGCCAGGGCCCCAGAGTGCTACCCTGTATCACGCCAAAATCGACCGTTGCCAGCTCGGTGCTACCCCGCACACCCTGTGTTCTGTCCTTAAAATAATCTCGGAGCCAGTGGTCTGATATTCCGTACCAGTTGAGTTTTTGCAGCAGTCTTTCACGATCAACAGTGTCAAAAGCCTTGGAGAGGTCACAAGATGTCAGACATGTCACTTGGCCCTTGTCTCTGTTGGCAGCTATGGCGCTCACTACGTCTACCACAGCGTCCTCAGTCGAGTGCTTTGGGCGGTAGGCATATTGCGTTGGTGTTAGAAACTGAGTTTCAGCCATGAACTCGACAAGCTGCAAACTTACGACCTTCTCTGCGAGCTTTGCTATCACACTGAGAACACTGATGGGCCTGAAGTTAGATGGCAGCGTCCTGTCTCCTGACTTATGAATCGGTACTATAACCGCGCGTTTCCAGATAGCTGGGACTTGCCCAGAGACGAATGACTTGGGACTTGCCAGAATTCTCTGTCACCGAGTTAGTGTTATGGATTCGGCGCCTTATTCACTAGTCCACACGAAGGTATAAGAACCGTGTAACTCTTTTCGATATGCCTTATTCGGAGAATCTTATGATATGGTGATGAGGTTGTTTCTAAACGAACATTATGAAGGTTACATTTACGCTATGGAATGTACCTAACTATTTCTCGTTACATAAAAACTGTAATTCTGAACGTGTTAACAGGTACAACACATTGTCAAACGTCTCTTCACTGTTTGTGTTACTACAACCGTGTATATAGTAAGGGGCGCCCAGTGGGAAGGGGCGCTTCAATATCGTTTGCACCCCTATCCTAGAATACCTTCCGCCGCCACTGACAAAATTACGTTGTCACAACGATAAATCGGAACGTTGTGGTAACCATTTGACAACGACGTTGTAACTTGTAACAACGGCAAATTGTTAGCTGGGCTGGCCTTCAGGCTTATGATTGGACGGAAGGTACCCTACAGAGTTGAAGTTGATGAGCTCAAAATTCCCAAAAACTTTTGCTGCATTTCGCTTACAATTGATGGAATTCAAACAGGTATGGCATATGATGTTGTTTTAACTAGATTGATTTTGTATAACATTAATACCTACATTGCACATAGGCTAAGTATTTTGGTAGCCACTTACTATAAATTAGATGAAACAAGTGCGTCATTTTTGAATAAAGTGACTTGTTTACAGTGGTGCTGCAGGGCGCGGTGGGCGGTTTCGTGAAAATAATTTTCAAATTTTATCCAGTTGTAGTGTGCCGACTGCCGTGATATACATTGTACGAGAGTTGAAAACTTAACTTCAGATCTTCTGGACATACGCACTTCAACAATCTGCGTTAACTAAGGTAGGCACTACGTGACTGCTAAGCTGAAGCAGGAATGACCTTTTGTTTGCACAGTTTGACAGTGCTGGTGCACTTGATTTTGAGATCAATATACGAAAATATTTTCCATATTTGTGAACATATTTCCCTTGTATATTGATATGTTGATAACCATCCTGCCTGAGGCAAATGATTGGTGAAGTCAGGCCAAAGGTGGCCTATAGGCCTGGAGCATGATGAAAATGCCAGGGGTGCTTTTTCGGCATTGTCGGAACGGAATGGTGGCGTAAAATGTCTCTGTAGTGTGAAGTAAGGTACTTGGTAGGTACTTACATGCATTTCCTAGCAGCTCTGCTATCTACATAACTGTTTTTCATTTTTAATGGAAGGTGTCAGTGACCAGTGTACACTGAAACTTGAATCACTAGTGAATTTTTCAATTTCAGGGGAAGTTTTGACATTTGAGGAGTGCTCAAGCACCCCCAAATCCTTTATTTTACACCTCTGGCCCTGAGTAAAGCCACTAATCCATACTCACACTTGCAGCAGAGTTGATGAGCTGCACCAGTTAGGCCAAGAATGAGAGCCAGGGTGACCATGAAAATTCTGCACCAGCCGATACCAACAAGACTGGAAATCCACATGGCACACCAGCTCGGAGTGACACCAAAGAAGATGTAGAGATTCTATTACAAAACTGATAGCATTGCACTTGTCCTATCAAAACTACAATGAAAATAAATTATTCCCCATTGTGTCTGCTCTACATCATTTTCTTTTCGTGGACACTGCAACACTTGAATAGCAGCTTGGCATGGTACCTAAGTACCTACCTAACATGTCAGGACTGCACAGCTCCATGCAGATTCCATACCACACCACAGTAAATCTCAAGTGCACACCAGCTTAGTACCGCTGCATTGACTAAATCTTGTCAAAGTTATCATGCTTTGCAGTCTGGCTACTCACTGAGACTCGCCCTGTAAAGTGCAGGTAAACCTTTTGGCTGTATCACTTGTTTCCCTTTTCTAGAATATCTCTGGAAACATTAGTTATGGCTCCTAAAGCTAAGTAGTCTGTTAAGTGTAAAGGGCCCATGTGGTTACAGGGTAGGTAAGTCATTAGTGGCAGTGAGTCAAATCGCTGTCAAACCACTGGCTGGACTGGACTGGCTGGCTGGCAGCTGACTGCTGAATGGCTGTCAGTTCCAGTTTTGTCTTAAGCAAATCCCTGAGTGACATTTCTCCCTGCCTTCAGTTTCCACAGCCACTGTAACTGGCACAGTAGCCGAGTCCATTCACAATGGCCGAACCGTCAGTGAAGGTGGGCCAGCGCGTACAGACCAAAGACTGCGTCGGCACCGTGGCCTACGTGGGCACCGCTCAGTTCGCCGCCGGAAAATGGGTCGGAGTCGTGCTCGACGAGCCCAAGGGCAAGAACAACGGCACCGTCCAGGGAAAGACGTACTTTCAGGTCAGTGAATGGAGGTGCAGGAGTCCTGGTTCGGTCAGTTGTTGATGCAGTCAACTCACTCCTTGACAGATTCAATTTGAATTCGAGGTAAAGTTTTTTTCTTCAAATGCTCGAATCTCATTTTAGAACATTAAAAATAGCAATGCTCTCGTGCCGTCTCCCATCCGCCGTTCATCATGCCCGATTTACTGTTTATCATTAGCCGACAGCATACATTTCCTGGGTTGTTGTACCTTTTTCTGGTCTGTTAAGATCAACCGTTGCTGCGTGGCTGACTTCATCCCACTCTCCCATCCCCTCCCACAGTGTGAAGACAACCATGGTGTGTTCGTGCGCCAAACGCAGCTCACCATTCTGGACGGAGGCGGCTCTGCACCCGGCTCTAAATCCGCCACCCCGGTACCGGAAAAACCGAAAAGTCGGTAGGTGGTACATTAATTTGAGATATAGGTTCTAGTGTGTGCGTTCGTTTGTATGCTCGTGTGTGCGCGTGTGCGTGTGCGTCTGTACGGCCACTTTAGGAGTGTATACAATTGAGGGGTAGAAATATAAAGGTGTAAATAATCTCGTCAGGAGCCGGGTTTAACTCAGGATTACTACCAACTGAGTGGTTTGGTGCCGCTTTGCAAATTGCACATGCGAAATATTCTTGATAATTTTGTTTGAGCTTATTTCGTTACGCCAGGTCAACTGTGAACCATAATTTCACGCTTTATTTCTTTTGCTCCACAGCCACAAATGAGTACGGTTTCCCGCTCTACGCAGCCCTTCTCGTTCTGTTTACAGATAACTGACAGCCGCACTGCACCGTGTAACGCTGCAGGCATTTGTTTCAGTTGACCGTTTCCGCCGCTTCCAGCCGCGTATCTGAACTCATTTGGCGCACAGTGCTATTTCAGTCCAGTTCCGGCCCCGGTAGCTCCCACGTGGCTGTCAGGGGACGCCTGTCTCCCTGACGCTGTCCAGTGACGTGACATCTGCCCGTTGCGCGTGACGCCTCCCTGTTGCGCTTGACGCCCCTCTGTGATGGGTAACGCCTTTTGGTCACGCGTGACGCCTGTCTGTGACGCCGCCGACACGTTGCATTCGTTGCCGATCAGGGTGTGGGCCGATGCCTGCTGTGACGCCATGGCTACTGGTCTGCTGATGGTGGCCAGTTGTAGCTGTCGAGAGGTCTCCCCTGTAGAACAAGTGCGCCGTGTAGCTGGCGCACTTGTTTTCATGTGCAGTTTTAACATTGCTGTTTCAGGCGGCCGGCTGCGCGGTTACACGTGGATGATTATTTCTTTTACAGCGTCTAGCCGTATATCACAGTGTGTGAGTGGTGGCCGGAAGAGTCCGAGTTATATTGACGTGTTTCGCACCCGGCTATCGTGTTTCCAGTGCACCCTCACGCCGTGCCTTCACTTGCAGTATTGAGTTAAACTTACTGCTCAGCACTATTAACACTGCCTCAGCTCTCACCGCCGCATATTCATTATTCACAACCTCTAGAAGCTCACTGTTTGACCACATAGAGTATGCCTGTGTCACCAAGTATGCCCGAGTGTAGTCCGAGTGTCACTGAATGTCAACGATTGTCACCGAGTGTCAGCATTGTCCCCACATGTCACCACAACGTCCCGCACGCATCTGTGCACCGCTGCGTCCAGCCCGGCGTCTCGTCTGTCGTCGGGCGGCTCGGCGTCGGTGGGCGGCGGCCTGTCGCGGCTGCCGCGCCTCTCCATGGCGGCGCCCAGCTCGGCGGCCACCCCGGGCCGGCCGGCCGCGGCCGCAGCCATGCCCCGCTCGCGGTCCGGCGACAGCGTCAACAAGTAACAAACGCCGCTCGCACGGGCTGGGGAGCACGCGCCGCCCGCCGCGCACCGTGGCTGATCTCTGTCCTTTGTAGACCCGGCGGGGCTAACGGAATGCCGGCCCGCCGCCGCCGCCGACTCTACTAGTCTCTAGTCTTAGCTGGATCGTCCGTCCGCCTGTGATGCGTAGACCCCGCGGCGGCGTCTATCTGTCTATCTGGTTGTGATAGTCTCTTGGTCTTGGTCTTGGTCTGTCATAGCGATTGACTCGATTTCGAGTCGCTTTCTGACCAGTGGCTGGGTCACTGGGAGACAGTCTCATGGCATAGATTGTTTGGGCTTCAGTCTCTGTCCGGGTCAACTTTGTCGGATGCTAGTCTCATTTGTAGTTTCTATGTCTGATCTGTAGATCCCAGTGTCTTCACCTGGGCGTAGCTCACATTGTCCTTCGTCGCTGTCATTTATTGACGATGTCTTTTCTGTCAGTGTGTGGTACACGTCCGTGGTCCATGCGCCGCGGGGTCTTCGGTGCCTCGAACTAACCTACATCGGCTGGGGAGCACCCACGCCGCTACAGCACCCACCGCCCACTAACCCAAACGTGCGACGGGGGCCAGCCGGCTGCCCCCGTCGCCGCGAGAACTACCTAGACCCGCGCAGGAGAGAACTAGACATTTTACAGAATGCGTGCTTGTATGGGGGATTCGTCCAGTATTTGGAGAGTTAGACACCGCGAGCTAAGCGGTGCATTGATTAGAACTAATCAACGCCGCGCGGAAACCATTGAAACAGCGTATAATTGGCTAAGAGCGAGACACCGTATGCTAGAACGGTGCGAAACTAGAATGCAAGGACGCAAGGACTAATCAACAACGAATCTTAACGATTAATAGGGACACCTTAGCTCTGAAAACAATGACTTGGATATAGGCCAACGTGTTATGAGCTTATTAGTGAGATAGGAACATATGTTTTTGTCAACGTTGCTCTTCAAGCCACAAGGATGAACTTTAAAGCTAAGAATATCAAGTGCTTATTGTACTCTCAATGATTCTTTCGCCAGATATTCATGGAAGTCCAAGCTGGGCCCTCATTCATTCCCATTTCGCAGATGATGTGCCAATCCTGAACTCTGCCCGCAGTGATCAAGTCTTTACCCTATCCTCTGAGTTTCTGTTCTCCCTTGTATGACGGTGAAACCCGGCCTCCGCTTTCTCTTATGCTTGCCTCCTCACAAGCACGCTTACCTCATCTTCCTTTTGTCGTTTCAGTCCTTTGCTGCCTCCCTGTGTTGTAAGAGACCTGAACCGTACTATGGTATTACCATTGGCCCATGCCTTACCTTGTGTGCTGCTACAACAGACCTGTGCTGTCTCTATGTGCTGTTACAGTGTGCTGAGACAATTTGTGCTGCTCAGGCAGACGTGTTCTAACGGTGGGCGCTGTGTTTTCAGTTTTGCTCGGCGCGACCCTCATGCCGGAAGGTAGGCAGGGGATGAAGAAATAGTCGCCCCACAGGCGACCCGGCCTGTTTCACGGGGTTTTCGCACGCAGGCAGATTTAATTCACGGGTCTGGCACGGTCTGAACACCTTGACCGTGACACAGGGCACGGGTCGCTTGTGCGGGCACGGATAGTGTGGCGTCAGGCACGGCAAAGGGTGGCACTTAGTTCGGTGTTTGGAAGGTCATCGACGCACCACGGGCTATGGTGTTGGGCATGCTCCTTTCTGGAATTATTTACGGCGATGTTCCTGAATCAGGGCTAGCTTTTCAACTTGGTTACAGAGCACTACGAATTCGGGTGGCTTTCGTTCTCTAATTTTGCTGAGGTTCCGTGGTTCATATTTCCTCGTTTAGCCTGTCGCGCTGGGGACGCTGGGGCTGTATGCTCCAACGGTGTCCCCCTCTGCCCCCTAGAAAGCCAGCGGTGGGGCCGAGGCGTCAGCGGCTCCAGTAAGTCTGTGGTTAGACTCTATCGCTCTGTGCAGTGCCGCTAGCTGTGCCTTCTATTCCTCAGTAGCAGTTATGGTTCCTGGAGCAGCAGTGCTTCTATGGTGTATTGTTGGAACTGTGATTTTTTTCCCGGACAGTTGTTTGGTAGCTTTGGACTCGAACGGCTTGCTGTTCTTTCCTGCTGTTCTACATAAGTTGCTTAGTTACAAAAATATGATTTTTTTCATGTATACTTCGTTATTTGTGAGGGGATTGAGGAAATCGGTTTGAATTCCACATTACAACACATTTTGGAGTGGTTAGATCTGTGCACTTTTTAACATTCACACCTCTTTGATTTTTGAAGAAGCAAGGGGTATTTATGTTGTGGAAGTCTTGACTGCTGGCTGGTTTCTTTTATGCAGCTGACTTTGTTTTCGGAGGGATGCATGAGCTTTCATGATGGTTTTTAGTTGGAAAGTAACGTTGAAAAAATCCTTCATTTCATAGACCGTCTCATCAGTCTGGTTTGCAGCTGCCATTGTTTTGAAATTCTTAGGTCTGCCTAGTGCCTATCATGATATTAATTCGCCTATTTGTTCAAACTGTTTCCGTTTCGATGAATTTTTATAATCTGACGAGAGTTCTTAGGCCACACCATTCTATCATTTGATTCCATATCGGTCTAGTTCTACGCTCTGTCTCGGTGTGATCGGCAAAATGTGGTGTTTTAGCTGGCGATCTCTCCTCTGGCGTGTCTCCGCAGTCTGGCATGTCGTGTCTCTGTCTCTCTGTGTCTCCTTGTATATCTCCGTGTCTCCGTGTCTGTTCCCGAGCATGATCTGTGCTGGATTCAATCTCTGAGCACCTATCTTATCTACTGAATACTGATAGCTTGAATACCTACAAAATATTTGTGACTTCTAGATACACCTTTCAATGGCTCCAACATTCTACCAGAAAACTTCATCATGAAATTCCCGCTTCCCTGGCGTGCCTTTAGGAAACTTATGCTCCAAAGATATCAACGCAGCCCAACGAATATATCCCCATTTCAGTCCTATCCGACATTTTTCAGCTTCCAGCCTCAGCGGTCCGTTTTCAGTGTTCTGTCCGTCCTTCCGGCTAGGCGTGCCAATGACCGTTGTACCCTTGCCGTATTGCCGTTTCGCCGTATACCTATTAATTGTGTCGTCTCCGAATACCTGTGCATTTGTGCAGAGCCCGCCTGGCTGTCTGCCTGTCTGCACGTCGCGTCATTGCACTGGCTGGCATGTCTGCATTGCAAGTTGCATGCCCTTTTCAGCATCATCGCAGAGCGGCGGTTCCGTCATCCGTATGCGGTTCCTGGGAGCCCAGCCCATAGTGATATTTTGTGACATACATTATCTATATCTCTACATAGATGATGAGCGAAATGTTCAAGGGTTTGTTCACCTGTCATTATGCATTTTGTGATGCTTGTTTATAGTTTACAGTGTTTAAGTGTGTTAGTAAATATTATGCCGTGCCCCTTCAATCCTCATTCCCTGTGGCAGTGATTGTGAAGTTCACCCATTATTATCCTTACCCTGCTTCTTCATCATATTCCCTACATTGCCTTGCTTAATGCTTATACTGTCTGAGCATTTTGCGCACTTCATCCCTCATGTCTCAGAAGGTTCTTATCATTGTTTATGTGGTACATCATGTGCGATATTTCACGCCTTTTTTACTTAAAGTTCACAAGCTACCCTTACGTCGTCCCCCTCTCGCGCCGATGACTGTTTATTATAATTTCATCAAATAGCCGATTCACTATGTAATTCATACCTGTGCATTTTTTTCACTCAGGGCCATTGTCGCCAGCTAGTTTGAGTGAGAGCTCCCAGTGGCGGATCCAGGGGGGGGGGGGGCAAAATGGGCATTTGCCCCCCCCCCCCAAACGGCATGATTTCAACATTACGCCTATGGACGATGCATGGAAAGAATCGATAAATGTTTATGGTTTGCCCCCCCCCCCCAAACCTCTGAGCTGGATCCGCCTCTGAGAGCTCCCATCCCCCTAAAACCATACCTTTCTGTCATTCACCCTGAACCCTCTGGGCTGGGCTGCAGGCTACCGACGCCGGGCTCAACGGGCCGCCTCTCGGGCCATGCCTCCCCGCGCGAGCCGACCAAAATCAGCCCCAAGGGGCGCAACATGCCCACCAAGAAGGCATCCTCCACGCTGGAGATCTCGCCAAAGAAGGAGCGAAGTGCCACCGGCTCGACGCAGGACCTTACCGCTAACAAGAGGGCCTCATTTGTCGAGGTGCGTGAGCTGCTTGTATGTGTGTGTATGTGCGGATATAGTTTGGTTAATCGGATGACATGTTTGAATTTGCACAATTTGGAATGTGTTGGGTTAGCAAGGAGACTCGACTGGTTTAACATGGAATGTTGGTGCTGTTAATGGGTACGTTTCGGTTCACTAGAAAGCAGTATTGTAGCAGCTGCTAGGTGAACCCATTCGCAGCTCCCATTCTCAAGTAAACCATAATTGCCTCAGTTAGACCATGCTTCATTGCGTATGATATTCCATGATGGTGATCTACGTGCTTCAAAAACTGCGAACATCAGGCTCCAGGTGAAATGTTTCCGTCAGAGTTTCAATGTCATTTGACGGACTGTCTCGCTCACCTGCTACCTCGCCCCTCCCACAGACTGGTTTCGTGGAGAGCGCCGCGCCCGTGACACCCAGCCCGGCGGCAGCGGCTCCGGCCGGACCGTCAGCCGCCGACCAGCAGCGAGAGATCGACAACCTCCGGGACGAGGTCAAAGACCTCAACGAGAAACTCGAAACACTTAAAAGTAAGAGGGGAAAGGATATTGAGGACTAGGAGGAGACTGCGGCGTGGAGTTAGGAGAAAGATCGTGCTGATGGTGATAAGATTCTTAAAACATTTTGTAGATTTTGTAGCTTCAGCTGTGTTATCGTCGACGGCTTCTTTGCTGTAATAATAATATCTCGACCATATTGTTTCCCAGCTGGAAATTGTTGTCGATTGGAGGCTGCAGCTCTTTAGTAAAACGGCTTTCAGTTTCATTACCTATATGGTCCGGATTGCAGTTTTGATTATATATGTAGCTCTGGGGGTAGGTCAAACACCAAACACTCGCTGACGTCGGCTCGTAGCCCTTGCTTTAACTGCATCCTCTGTGTCTCCCCTCGCCGCAGCCAAGCGCGCCCAGGACCGCGACAAGCTCAAGGAGCTGGACAAGATGCGCATTCAGCTGGAGCAGCTGCAGGAGTTCAAGGCGCGCATGCTGGAGCAGCAGGCGCAGCTGCAGAAGGAGCTTAAAAAGGCCAAGGAGGAGCGTCAGGAGGCGATCGAGGAGCGCCAGCGGATCCAGGAGGAGACCTCGGACGTCCAGGAGACGCTGGAGATGGCCGCGCTCGACAAGGAGATGGCGGACGAGAAGGCTGAGACGCTGCAGCTGGAGCTCGACCAGGCCAACGAGCGGATCGAGGAGCTGCGACTGGACCTGCAGATTCTGCAGGAGGAGGTGCAACAGAAGGGCGACAGCGGCGAGGCGGCCGCCACCAGCTTCCAGGTGAAGCAGCTCACGCAGCAGAACGAGCGGCTCAAGGAGACACTCATCAGGTGGGTGCTGAGGAGCCAGTCGGGCTGTGGGGTGGTTAGAAAGGAGTGAGTAGAGGGATGGAGTTACGGGATACTCAGAGACATTGGGCTGTGGATGGGAATAGTTAGGGAGGGTAGATGGTCTCAGTTTAATCAGGCCAAAAAAAAATATCAGAAAAACTTAGTTATAAAGCCGCATTTCTTATTATGGCCGGTCTGATGATTCAAACACTTACCGTTCTCGTTTTCATTTTGTCCTTATGCAGGCCAATGGCCTTTTTATTATATATTCAGCACACTTGAAAGTCAAACGTCATTATTCTCATTTTGTCCTTGCCTCTACGATCGTTCCCTTTTTCCCCTTTTCCCACGCCCTTCGCTCCCCGGACCACACCGAACAGGAACACATGCATTCCACTCTTACACCCCTACACCCCTCACGCCTTGCCGCCTGTCGCCGCCAGGATGCGGGACGTAGCCGCGCACGACAAACACGAGCTGCAGCGCACCCAGAAGGAGATGGAGACGCTGAAGACGAGTCTGACCGAGCTGGGACGCGAGAGGGACAAGTTCCGGGCCCGCTCGGAGGAGATGGAGGCCAGCATCGCCGATCTGCAGGAACAGGTGCGTGAGCTGAGGGTGAGGGTGGTAGGAGGGAGTTGCTGGGTGGGAAGGGGGAGATAGAGGAAGGGAGATGTTAGAAAGGTAAATGATTGTGAGTTGTAGCTGGGTGGGCTGAATGGTTGTATGGTGAATGATGACTTCTTGGAAAAGGGAAGAGTGGCTATGCGAAACTAACAAATCTATGGATTGCATGAAGTTCCAGCAACTATGTTGATGCTGGAAGATAATGGGTCTTGTGGTCATAATTTCCATAGTCTATTTAACACGCGGTAGCGGCTAATTGCCAGTACCTACGCTCTCAAGTTGTCTTTGAATTTGTTCGTGTCCAGTTCACCGAGACAGACTCCTGCGTCCGGCACCCCCCACTGACTGACCTAATGTCCCCCCCCCCCTCCCCATTCAGGTGGACGCGGCGCTCGGTGCCGAGGAGATGGTCGAACACCTCTCTCAGCGGAACCTCGCTCAGGAGGACAAGATTCAGGAGCTGCAGGAGTCGGTCGAAACCCTGGAGGCGCTGCATGACATGAACGAGGAGATCGCCGAGAACTTTAGAGAGACTGAGCTGGAACTGAAGCAGGAGCTGGACATGCAGACGGGACAGATGAGACAGGTCGGTGAAGTGACGCTGAGCAGGCGTGAGGTGGAGTATAGAGATGGGAAGACAGGGCATGCGGGCGCTGGTAGGATGTAACGTGTAAAGGGTAGACAGTGCTTTATGATGTTCCGTTAGGAGGGAGTGGAGGCTATTGCAAGGAGACCCCCCATTACTAAGATAAACCACCAAGCCATTGTTTCGTCAAACTCTTGTCCCGACACACTGAAGTTAACATCCCCCTCCCCGCTCACCCCCACAGACTGAGCGGAATCTGGACGCCGCCAACGAGGTAATCGCCGATCACCTGGCCACCATCGGCAAGTTCCGGGAGCTGGTACAGCGACTGCAGGATCAGAACACCGAGCTGCGGGATCAGCTGGAGAAGGAGACCAACAAGCCAGTCGGCGTGCCGGCAGAGAAGATCGACTTCAAGGTGGGTTGGTGGGGGGGGGGGTTCGGGGAATGGAGGGGTCGGTGAATAACAGGAAAGGTACAGACAAAGAGGGATTATATGCAAATATGAAATTGTTAGAGCGATTATAAAAGTCTACTGCAAGAGGATGAGAGTCGAGTTTCATTGATGTCGTATAAAAGCTTCTGATGTTTGATTAGAAGGCTCACGTAGTGTTACTTTAAGTAGTTTTATTATATTTTCATACCTAACTGAAGTGAAAAGATGGGTGTGCGATAAAAGATATTCAGTTTCGCTCATTGTAAGAGAATTTATGACATTTGGTGTTCTCCCCTCTCAGAAAATGTTTGCTGAGACGAAGGCGCACGCCAAGGCGATCGAAATGGACCTGCGTAAGATCGAGGTGCAGCAGTCGAACCGGCACGTGGAGCTGCTGGCCAAGTTCCTGCCCGATTCGTTCCTGGCCAGGGGAGGTGAGAATGGCAGAAGGGCAGAAGTGTGTTAAAAGAGATTTCGCTTGTGGTAGAGGCTGGGGGCTAATCATCTGTATATAGCGTTGGTAGTTGGTACTCGAATGAAATTGCGAGCCATAAGCTTTGCAGACTGTGGAGTATGGAGTATAATGGAGTTTTCCTAATGGAGTATGGAGTTTTCCTCACTACCCAAACACAATCATCGCCACCAGCCCAGCGTTACCGCCCTTTCGACCACCCCCAAACTATCGCGCCCCTCACTCCCGTCCCCTTCCCCGCCTGTCCATCCACCAGGCGACCACGACGCCGTGCTGGTACTTCTGCTAGTGCGCCGGCTGACGGTCAAGGCGGAGATCCTGCTGGCCCAGCTGCGGGACCGCTTCCCGGCCCCTGCCACCATCGACAAGACGGCCGTGCTCAAGACGCACACGGTGGAGCAGTACTGCTTCGGCGCGCGGCTCATCCACCTGCTGCTGGCTCTACAGGTGGGTCACGGTCAGAGTAGTTTGTTCAACGGACACATTGTCTTTCGTATATTTATGACTTTTTTACAGGTCTTTTCCTTACTCGTAAATATGTTTGCAGTGTATAATCATATGTTCTGGAACATTGTTTTCTTAGTCTTGGCTACCCATTTGCTTATCTTGAGCCCGATAGTGGGGACATGAACTTTGTGGAAAAAGTGAATCTCCATCTCCATTTGTTAACTCCGGCTGTGAGCGCCGTGCAGTCTCCAGCCTCTGACCCTCCCCGCTGTTTCCGCTCTGCCCTGACCCTCGGAGGTCACGTCCGCCCCTGTCCTATCCTCTCTGACCTAACGCCCCCCCCCCCCATCCCTGGCAGATGAGTCTGGACCAGTACCGTCACGCTTTGGACACGGTCGATGTAGAAACACTGCTGAAGGTCGGCACTCTCTACCCGGAGATGGCCGCGCAGGAGAGGGGAGTCGACTTCTACATCGAGCTCCTCCGACAGGATCAGGTAATGACGCTGAGGGACTCTGAATGGGGAAGGGAGGGGCCTGGAAATGGATTAGAGGAACAGGGGAAGGCTCGTAGGGCTGGGGAATGTCATTGAGGAACAGATGACGATACAGAGGCCAGGCAGTTAGGACTTAGGGCACGAAGGATCAGGTAACGAAGCAGTATGTGACTCTGTGTCATGCAAAGACGCTTCAGGGAGCTGGTCGAGGCTGCTGAGGAGACTGGAAGCTGAGCTGAGGTGAATTGCCTGTCTTCAAGGGCGGCGCCACCGTGGGGGCAGTGGGGGCAGACTGCCCCCACTGGTAGGAGGCCGTGGGGGCAAGACTATGTTTTTGCCCCCACAAAATTTGGCTGACAATTTGGGAACAGAAGACCGGTGCAACATTCATGATAGGCGGTTATAATAGTAGGTACGCTGTTTTTGACGGTCCCCGTATCAAGTGCATCAGCAGAACGTTCGTTCTCGGATCGTCTGTCGCATATATCCTACCCCCACTCATTCTCCTACTCATTTTCATTCACCAGAAGGCTGCCCTCGCCCCTCGAACTTGACCTCGAGGAGGTTGAGAGGCAGTTTGTCAAAAGTCGGCCAGAGAAGAGATCACCCTCTTTTGGGAACCCTTGAGACTGAGCTCAGGGAGGTATGACAAAATGTGATAGGTAATAGGTATGTATGTTCGGGTTGTCTGGAAATGTATGTGGGTCGCCCAAATGGAGCTTATTCTGGTAGGCATCAATCGTGTGTGAGAGAATCGCACATATACGTACTACGGGAAAGAGAGAACTAGGTACTGACTATTGTTGTGAGGAATACATCATTTTACATATCAAGGAACAACATAACGTTTTCACAGGTTTGTGTCTCGCAATCTAGTTTTATAGTTTTATTTGTTCGCGACCCTAACCCGGCCGGGCCCGGGGGTAATCCCAACCACCGCAGCCCGGGGGTAGCCCTCCCCCACCTGTCTAACAACGTTGATAAGGCAGCTACGGAAACAAAAATGGTACCAAACGAAAGGTATCTACGAGAAGATTCTAAAGCACCTAAACTTTGTTTTACCTCACGTCAATTTTCAAGGTCAGGAGTCAAGGTCAATGACAAAAACCGGCACTTTTGTAGTGGTCTCAAAGTACCTTCAACTCAAGTCAATCTCAACGACAATGACAATAAAAAAAAAACAATGTAATAAGATCAGACGTTTCGACAACAAAGTGCCTTCGTCAATGGAAACAGAGCAAAATGGATGCCAGAATCGTGATCAGCGGCTACGAAATCATCACAAACGACCTTTCATGTGTAAAGGTCAACCAAAGGTCATTCGAGGTCACATGAGGTCAACATATAACTTGACCTTTTCCAAACAATTTACATGTATGTCATTTGACGCGTCTCGACAAGACGAATGCGAAGGTACCACTGCCGTAGCTCTAGGAACATTTTACTGAAGTTATTTGCAAAAAACTAAAGTCCCAGCTCAGGGTCGTTGACCTGACCTCTGACCTGAGGTCACCAAAGCTACTTAAGTACTTTTTCTAGGTCAAATGCTACACAACCGTGCTCGTAATCTGTCTTTATCTCTAATACTCTATTTTGGGCATCTGGTTGAAGTTCACATATGTGACGCCGAAGTTTGCCGTGCAGGAGTCTAGAAAAATCGGCCCTTAGACGTTATCAAGAAGGCTAGGTCCAATTTTTTTGCTTCAAAAGATGTGAAATTAATGGGGATAAGGTACAGCAAGTTCCGTCTTTCTATTTCTAAGCGTTCGTGAGGTATCGGAAATATTCGCCAGGGGGAGGCGAAAACGCCCCCCCCCCCCTTCCGGGCCCGCGATGGTCATGGATGTTGCAGATCGGCGTATCAGACAACAGTCGAGTCACCTCAATCTTGCCCCCACAGGCGAAAATTCGTGGCGCCGCCACTGGTCTGGAACAGCGCTGTAGACCAGTGTTTCGTCTATAATTCACTAACCTGTCCGCGTGTGTCCTCAGCTGGGTGAAAACGTTGGCCTGGAGAACATGGAACGCGTGCTGAACTATTTCACCAGCCTTTACCCGAACCACCTGGCATCAGCTGGCACCGACCACTACAGCCATCTGCTGGCCTCCGCCAAAACCATGAGTTCCGCCTGCTCGTCGATAGAGGCCGAGGCTCAGCGGCTCAAGGTGGGTAACGACGGCGGTGGCAGCACCGCTTGTAATGAGAGAGCGCTGGAAGAGTTTCAAAAGGATCGTTAGTGTTATCTGGGGCCAATTGTTGCGGATTTTAGACATGAAAACTCTTACAACAGTAAGGAACTATCAGGACCCCGCTAGGTCTGGTGTAGCCAAAGCATTATGCCTGAGCTCATTAAACTTGATGCTCCATGTCGATATACTTAGCCTGAATATGTCATTGCGGTAATCATCCAGTCAGTTTTGTTCACAAAAACTGCGTCCCTCCCTCAGCTACTGGGAAAGGCGCCCTAGTCTCCTCTTTACCACATCTTCGGACCAGTGGCCATCTCCACTCTGACCCTTCGCCCCTATGTAGTTCTCTGACTGCACGTCCCCACGCGCTGCTACAGGTGATCTCGCAGGAGGGCGAGTCCCACACGCTGTTTGGGTGGCTGGCCGCCACTGCCGAGGCCTGTGGTCAGCTGGCAAAGAGGGTCCGACGCCGCCTACCCCAGGACGGATCGGCCGAGAGGATCTCCTATCCCGACCAGGTGAGAGGGGATCTCCTATCCAAGCTAGTTGAAAGGGGTCCCTTACCCTTATCAGGGAAGACTCAGAGGATTTCGTATCCTAACCAGGTGGATAGGGGTCTCTTATGCTAATCAGTTGATATAATCTCCTATTTTTACTAGGTGATCTGTTTTTCGTCTGGTTTACTTTGAAAATGCTTGTTTTAAATGCTTTTGGTTGATGAGTTGACGAAACCAATGCTAGACAGGGACAACTTCCTCGAATAAGACGTGCCGATATGTCTTGGTATCAGCGGAAGTAATCCTTATTTATTTATTTCTTCATAAGTACCTATAATGGTCTCGAGACCGAGTCGAACTTAAACTAACTTCGCCCAGCATGCGAAGATGGTAGGTCAGAACTAAATCGCATGTCAACTCCATATGGTCGTGGCCCGGAAGAACTCGATAATGACAAAAACCCACATTTTTTGTGTGCTCTGCCTTCCAAACGTGATGCAGCTGGCCTTAAGTTAGCCCTTAACCTAATTCCCGGCTTCGAGCTCGGGCTAAATCCAGCTCGTATGGGGAATTGTATCAGCCAACGGCTGAGAGCCTCTGGGAAGTCGTGACATGTTGCATGCTAGCTGCAAGTCATTCTAGTAAAATAGGACCTGTCTGCAAATCCCATTGAAGCGCTTCTGCGTGATGTGTCCATTGATTAGTTTTCTTAGAGTTAGCCCACAGCCGTGTTGTGGCTTTGTCAAACATTTCATTTTCCGTTCAGAAAAGCGCGTATTGTTCAGACAGGCAGCTAAGTCCGTATTACATTTCTACATCGGTCATGTAAACGTGTACCACTGCCGCACCGCGAACCTTTAATCCATTCCACTTACTCAGCCTTCAGCAAACCGAGCGGTAAGCGGCATGTACCGGTCGCCGTGCCGCGCACTTCGTTTAACTCTCCCCTGTCGGGCCGGCTGGAGAGTCTCACTCCCACTCTGATACGATTAGCCGCTGGGATGGGCGCAGAATTCCCTCCACCACAGAGAAGCGATCCCCGTGAGCTGACTGGTACTGTGCGTGCCCCAGAGCTCGACGGGCGACCGTGAGCTGACGGACTTTGGTCAGGGAATGACGCTCTACTGGGACATACCGCGAAGCCGTGACTAACTGAACAACTGTATTTCCATACTGTTACGTAAATGGCGATGCCCGTGCGCGTGCTGTAACGATGAGTCGAGGCTGAGCCTGCTTCATGTCCAGTTTTCAGTAACCGATAAAAGTCGGGCGCAAAGGCTTGTGGTTGACGTGTAACTGTAGCGCGTCTGTCAGTGTATAGAATATTCTCCGTGCGGGGAACAGGTGCCGTCCATGCTGGGTAGACGGATGAGTCAGCTAAATTGTATCACGGACCGGTGAAGAGGATAGAAAGTCGGACACAGGCTGTGGCTGCAATGGTACAATTGCGTCACTGTTACAACATAGATATCCAGCCGGCCTCTTGGAAAGTCGTACAATTACTCAGACGATGAATGTTTGGAACGGGCATATTAGCGGCCGCCGCACGGCATCGGCAGTTTCTTCCGGAATCAGTATACGGAAGTCGTATTTGAGTCTCATTGGTCTTGTTAGGAGCGCATATTTTTATGGAGCTATTTTGCGGATATGTCTAATCGCATCGGTTTTACTCGGAGTATACCCTTTTTGACGTTGGCCGCGCCTATTTTCCCTTGCTAACAACACGAGTAAAGAGAATCTGGCGACAGGTGAAACTGCAAGGCCGCTGCCAAAATACGCCAAATTGCCGTCTACTGCAGACTTTCCAGTTGCTTTAGCTGCTTCTCGCTACTGATACTGCTTTCGATCGGTTCTGAGTTATCGACCGTGATCGTCCGACAATGAGGCCATTGCTGCTTCTCTAGATGTTTATTTAAGCCCAGAACGTTGCAGAACTGGGAAGTCTTTGAGGGTCCACGTCAAAACAGCTAGTGACTATTGAGCTAGTGACTTTTGAGCTAGTACAAAAGAGCTAGAGCTTCAAAACAGCTAGTGACAACACAGCTAGCGCCAAAATAGCTAGTAATGCAAAATAGCTAGTGCATTAAATCAGCTAGTGACTAAACAGCTAGCGTCAATATAGCTAGTAGAGCAAAATAGCTAGTGCTTCAAAGCGTAGGAACCATGGGTGCAGTGGGTGCAGTTGCACCCACAATAATTCTCCAGTGGGTGCAGACAATGTTTTCTGCACCCACAATAATCTGGAACAAAAACCCCTTTTCTCATCAACACTACTTCCCATGCAGCACAACAAATTCAGGATATTTTGCCCACTTTCCACCTTTAGAAGCGTTTGCTACTGTGATGGTCTTCAAAACCTACATTTGCGCTCAAGTAAAAAAGGAAGCAACGGAACACATGTGATTGAACACATACCGATGACCCACTGTCAAAAGTTTGAGCCCGATACCTATCTTCGAAAATGGCTAAGTTAGCCGCATTTAGGTACTTTTTGCGGTAGTCAATATTGACATTATCAACGCTTCTAAATACACTTATCATCGGTAGGTACCTTTTCGACATGGTACACCCTCAAAGCTCACAAGGAGCCTCCGCTCGGGTGCCGCTCCCTACCCCCTCCCCCCCCCCCGGCTTCACCGGCCATGGCTGGATTTCTGCACCCATGCACCCACAATGTTCCAGCCGTTCCTACGCCCATGTAGCTATAGAAATCGCTAGCGTCGACTAATAGCTAATGAGCAAAATAGCTTATTCGTAGAGCAGCTATTATAGATTCTTTCCCGACGAAGAGTCCCCACGGGTAGAAGGAGCAGAAGAGCACCGTAGTTTGACAAAATTATTTGGAATGCTAGGAGGACAGAGGACGGGATCCCTAGGACAAACAACAAATTAAAAACGGGGCACCGGGGAATTAAAGAGATGGCATATCGCGGGAAATACATATTTACAGTCATAGATATCTTGCATTTTTGAAGCGAAGTGAATGGGAAGGGAACAGAGGTCCAACGAAATTGCTATTTTGACGACGAAATTGCTATTTATGCTTCACTAGCTACTTTGACGCTAGCTGTTTTGTCACTAGCTGTTTCTAAGCACTAGCTATTTTGCTTCACTAGCTATTTTGACGCTAGCTGTTTTGTCACTAGCTGTTTTGAGGCACTAGCTGTTTTGTACTAGTTCAAAAGTCACTAGCTCAAATGTCACTAGCTATTCTGACGTGCACCCGTCTTTGACGGTCGTGTCAGTCAATGCTAAGTCAATGCTGACAGAGTGATGGAGTACACTCGGGGGCAGATTGATGTTCCATCACTCCCTACCCATCGGGCTCCCATGGCTCAGCACTGGCTGCTGCCAGTGGCAGCACTGGCAGCACTGGCACTGGCAGACAGTGCTGAGCAGTGCTGAGGGCAGGCAACACTGGCAGCAGCCAGTGCTGAGCCATGGGAGCCCGATGGGTAGGGAGTGGTGGAACATCAATCTGTCCCCGAGTGTACCAGTGAGTGTTCCCCGTGAACTAACTCCCCGTGACCTTTTCTGACACCGTGACCTCTCTATGACCCGGTGTCCCGTCTGTCACAACTGTGACCCCCCCGTGACCTCCTCTGACCTCTTCTGCTCCGTCGCCAGGTGGGCGACTCGATCGGAGACGTGCTGCGCCACCTGTACCGGGTGGGCTCCGTGCTGAGGGACGTCGGACGTGCCTCCACGCCGCTGCTGGCAGCGCTCACCGGTAACGTGTCTTCTACCACCTATCTGTGTTTTCACTCTCCCTCTCTTCCTTTCCTTCTATCCGCTCTTCTCGCTCCTCTCCGTCTTCCTGTCCTGATTCTTTTCTCCTTTTTTATCTATCTTTACTCCCCTCTCCCTCTTTTTATTTAGCGCAAAATGCCCTTTGTCGGGGCGCCCTAAGGCCCTAAGAAACAAATATCTCTCTCTTTCCATTTGGTTGCCTTCCCCTTATCCTCCATCTCATTTCCTGTTATCCTTTTTATCCCCTCTCCTTTCACTCTCCTTCCTTCCTCTCTACCCCTTCCCTCCTCTCTTTCCACTATCATTCTCACGTCACAACTCGGGGTCATGGGTCACCGACCACGTAACTCCCCTATCGTCACGACATCTGAGCATACCGCGCAGGCCGGAGACCACAAACTCACTCCGTGGCCGAGATAGCTGCGTGAAGACAATGTGTCACACGATGAGGAACGATGTGACAGTATTGTGTTGGCGCCTCCTAACCGCACGCGGCGATAACAACACGAAAACAACTGCGGTCGCGTTATCCTCCGGGCTGATATGTGGCTCGGGAATGTTCTGACGTGAAATAACGACTTACCGTCACAGTGTATCTGTTTATATCAGCGTCGTGAACACGCATGGACTTAGTTCAGCCTCGAATAAGATCTTGCGTGTCTTCATTTTCATTTATCTTGTGACTCAAACGATCATCTTTGCATTTTTTTATGACTATCTCCAGTATTTTCTCTCAATACGTGGCACGTACTAACACATATATAGCGATGCGCCTCATCCCCTCCCCCTCTCACCCCTCCTCTAACCCTCCCCCCTCCCCCGGCAGACGTGGAGTCGGGCCTGCCCTCGTCCAAGTGTATGGAGGCGGTGGCGCGCAGCGTGGACCTGGTGTACGGCGCAGACGACCACGGCGCCGACTCCTTGCGCTCCTCGCTGACGGCTGTCTCCGAACAGCTGACCCGACTGGCCGACGCTCTGGAGAAGGGAGAGTACGACTTCGACGGCTCCGTGCCGGAGAAGGTGGGTGGAACGGGGATGAGAGGGTAGATGGTATGGAGAAGGTGTCTGAAAATGCAAAAGGTGGTTGAAGAGATTGATGATGGCACGAGAAACTAGCAGGCAGATGGTGACTGAAAAAAGAAAATCAGACAAGGACGTACCTATAGATAATTGGTGCAATTGGCAGCGAGGACTAATTAAGAATTCACATGGGCCATTTATCTACCATAATCCTCGTGTGCTCAGCACCTATATGAGGAATGCGGATAAGCTAAGCCTTTCTAAGCCTGATTTGTGTTGCGGTGTGGGGTTGGGCTGTTTTCGTAGCCCACTGATTGTTAAAAAAGAATGTTGTGCAGGCAATGATATGGAATGAATGGATTGGATAACGTTATAGTAAAAGCCGACCACCCCCTCTCCCTCCACAGCCGACACCGCCAGTGGAGCTGCGCCAGCGCGCCGTCAAGGCCGAGATGCTCGAGGGTAGCGGCATGAAGGCGCGCCTCAAGAACAGAGAGGAGGAGATCAAGGAGCTCAAGCTGGCGCTGAAGATGAAGGCGGAGGAGCTGAGCGAAGCCAACGTCAGGCGCGAAATGGCCGAGAAGAAGCTGTCCGGATCGGCGAAGGACGCGGATCTTACCATCGAGAAACTGCAGGTCGGTAGCTCAGGGGTGGGGGAGGAGGGTGGTTTAATGGTGAGGAGGAGGATGGAACAGACTGCAGTAGGTAAGGAAGGCGAGGCGGTATTTATGGTGATGGGGATGGAAAGAAGGGAGACTAAACAGTGATGGGGAAGAGGAATTACGCACCATGTGCTGATGTTGAAGGGAGAGTGCGTGGTCACGAATAGTAAGGATGAAGTCTCACAGGGTGGAAGAAAGAAGGTTTGATTAGGACCAGGTGGTCTCATTAGGCACAGTGCCGGTAGTTCAACAATTTATAGCCTGCCCAACGCTAGAAAACGATGATAGAAAGTCGGCTGTTGCCACGCGAAGGCAGTCCTGAGGACTGGAGATGCCCCCACTGCACGACGTTTCCGTGTGAGGTGGTGTAAGTGGGTCTCGGTTCGGTCGGTGACCGGCCGAGAACAATGTTTCTCTGCCGTTTGACACACTGGACAATGCGGGTCGGCAGATAAGCTAACACCTGGGTAATGCTAGTGCTACACGGCGGCGAAAGAGGGGATAGTGTTGCAATCCTGCTTTACTGTGTTTTGATCTGTTTCTACCCTGATATTGTTTGTGATTCCTGACTGGTTGTTTGTTCTGAATGCCTCCTCAGACCGCGCTGGTATTTGTACTGTTTCATTTTCTCGCTGTAGTACACAGGACGCCATCTGTCTTGTCTAGGTCGCTCGTGGTGTATTGGCCCTCCCCAGCATTGCTCGGGCAAATCTTGGTCACGAGTTGTGTGTGGCTTCCTATGACATTGAATGATGTCGACTCGACCAGTTGTCCACTGGACATTGCCTTATATTGAACTTGCACTGACGACTGACCATATCGCATTCTCTCCCATCCACGCAAATTTCTTTCTTCCCATGATTGACCCCGTGTTGAATCCGCTCTAGCTCATTCCGCACTGACCATAAGTCTGTCTCTTTTTCACCCCTAATTGTTGACCCATTGGCCCCCCTATTAGCCCCTTTTAAACCCTTGTAACCCCTTTTAACTCCTTTTTTACCCCTCTTTGACCCGCAGAGGAAGCTGGACGACGCCAACCAGCTGTTGCGCAGAAAGGAGCGCGAGTCGGAGGAAACGCTGAACCACCTGCAGACGGACCTCGAGTCACTGGAGTCTGAGCGGTCCGAGCTCAAAGAGAAACTCAAACTCATCAAGAAGAAGGAGCTGCTGCAGGGGCTGACCCAGAGCACGCTGGGATGTGAGTCGGGGGGTAGGGGAGGCTGAGCTAGCTCGGATATGAGTCGGGGGGGGGGGGGGGGCTGGGAATGGCGAGTGGAGGCGACTGGGAGCAGGTTGACATTGGGTTGGAGAGAGGGTCTGGTTGGTAAGCCCCGCCTGTCTGTGGGATTTAGTAGGGTAGTAGGGTTTCGGAGGGTCAGTGGGATTTTACTGGCGCGTCATGCTGGCATCGTGGCGTTTTTGTCTGGACGTTGTGCTAATCGCTTTCTGACCATTGACCCTGCTCCCTTGTATTGCTCTCCCAGAGCAATTCCATATTCACGTTTGTTATGTGGGCTTAAGATAAACGTGTACGATGCTTATTTTTTAGAATGATAGATACGGCATTATTTAAGTTCTTAATTAAATTGTGGCTTAAAAATGGTTCGAACATAGGGCGTGTCTCGACATTCATGTTTATCGTGCTTATTGAGCAGACTGAAGTAGGTATTATTCTTCCAGTCTACTTTCACGCTTTGTTAAGGCATGCATGTATGAAAATACCCTAGATGGTTTGATGAGGTAGTCACTAAAGCTGTTGTTGTGGTTTGGTATCAAAGCAGAGAACACCGGAGCTTTGTGGCTAGCTTAGTTGGTTAGTACTATATCATGACTATTGATCTTACTATAACAAGGTTAAGCGCAATCAGGGCATCGCGCAAAAAGAGGCCCCATTTCATCTTTTATCATGGGTCTAAATCTTCTTAGCTATACAAGTTGGAACAGGCGCTGTCTTATCTCGGTGACAAGAGAGAAGCTGCTCGTCCTATCCAGAGCCTCACTGAAAAACATGTTCTGAAGTCACTTTAAAACGACACCTCCGGGTACTTTTCGTGTCCAGGCGTTGCCGGCAAATGCTCTCAGCAAATGCAGGCCACCCAGAACGGGGTTTTGTTCATTGACGTCAGCGGTGTTTCCCCGTCCCTTGAGGTCATCAGTCATTGCGCGTGCGGGTTACGTCATTTCCAGCGTATTTGGCCAGCTCATCGAGAATGCGAGAAAGTTAGTCCCAAGCGACTTCGAGGTTCAATGGGGCGAAAAATTCGGTGCAAAACCAAAGCACTGACTGAGTATGAGTGATAGTGTGTCATCAAAATACTTCTATTCCGATTCACTCTACCACCGAATATCATTTGAGGTCATTTGCTGGGACCAGATATTGCTACTTTGAACAGCTGCTTTAAGCAGACACACAACTGAGTGGAAGTCGGAAGAACAATCAAGAACTTCAGGCAGACTGACTGATGTCAGACTGTTAGGCTGCTTAGTCCCTGTGGTGTACGCAACAATTGAACCCGACTAAAGGACGCTCAAAATCCTGCCTATACGGCGCGCGCCAAGACAACAGACTTCTGCATCAGGTTACGTCATTTAGTTACCAGCGACCGGGGATGCGGCGCGGAGGGGCGAACGAATGGTAACCACCGCCGTCATACAGCCCAGACCGGACAAATCGTCCGGCCGAGTCAGATCAGAGGCACGCCGCGTCTCCCTGAGGCGTCAGTCCAAACAGAGCTGCCGAGAACTACCCGGCTGTGACAGAGCGATGTCACGCCTGTTGTACGGATATCGGAAACATTGACATCACTGTGTATCGCGCGGCGCTCGGCGCTGTTTCGCTATTCCGCCCACGTGCGGCCCACGGTCGGTCGCTTGTACGCCGTGAAATATCACCCTTCACACCCGTCTGTGTGTTAGCCCAACGTAACACCTCAGTCAGGCGCCCAGCTGTTTTCGGCCGCTGACGTTGCTGCGGTTGACAGTGGCATCCTGAGGTCTCTGAGGTCACTCGTCAGAGGCTACTGATCTTAATATATACCCTTAATATATAATATATACCCAAACTCCCTGCCCATACTTCTACCCATACCCATACCCATACTTCTATCCAAGTTCCCCGCCACCGTTGCATCTGTCGTCAACGCTACCGAGGGAGCTCCGTTCACTCTTTCTTCCCTCCATCAGATCAGGCTCTCCTGGCCTGACCATGACGCCCTCAGCACTGTCCTATTCTGCGCCGTTTCCGAACGCTCCCGGCCGCTCCTCTTTTTAGCTAGGTGCGGGCGAGCCAGCGATATTAAAGACTGACGACACACTAAGCTGGCTCGTATTCCGATTGGAGATAGCACTGGTGACTGTCAGGCTGTCAACCATGGTCTCTTGACTATCTGTCAAGAGTGTCTGTGTGAGCGTGAGCACCGCTTCACACCAGTGCCTTCAGTGGAGAGCCGATGTCGTCTGATGACGCCTGATGACGCCTGATGACGGCTGGATGACGTCCGGCGCGTGCTCAGGGTGTTGACATCCAGGTGCCGCCGCAGCGGCCGGGTATGAATATGAGACAGAGCACTTCATCGGCTCATGTCAGCGCACCCCAGCTGGGGGCACGCTCACACTGGTTATGAATGGTGCTCATGTAAATGGACAGAGAGGGACTTCCGCTCGAGAGGGTTTACCATACGATAGCGCGCTATGGACAGCTGTTGTGGGCATTAATTCAGCGATGAATGTAGCAGCTGTTGAGGGTATTTTGTTGTGACAATTACATTATTTTATTACATGTTCATTTCTCAAGTCTTATCTTCGTGCTTCCTCGCCAACATGTTTATGTTCCGTGCTCTTGTCCAGGTCCTTCTCATGTCGACCATTTTGCTGCTTGTTGTCACCAGTCTTCCCCACCTGTTGTTTCGACCTCTTCTCACCTTTACACCATCATCTCTAGTCTCTGCCGTCCCCCACCCACTGCCTCCATCTGACTACATCTCTAACCTTCCCCGCTCCTCTCACTCGGAAGCGTGCCCCTCTCGCTGGCCTCCACTCGGCGTTTCTTGTTGGTGTCTCTAACCCCCTTCGTCTCTCGTCTCCACAGCATCGCCCTTGTCTTCCATCAGCGGAGCGGATTCTTTGTCGTCTCCGTCACCCTCTCTTACCTCTCTCTGTCACAGACAGCGTCGCCTTCGGTCCGACCTCTGCCAGCGCTGTTGCTCTCTCTCTCTCTAACCCCTCTTTCTCTCCCCCACAGCATCGCCTTCGTCGCCCGGCAGCGGTCCGGCCTCTCTACCGGCGCCGGCCGTGCGCGACTCGCCCATGCTACTACAAGAGATTGCCGCTCTGCAGCAGGTAGTCCGACGCCAGCGGGCGGAGATCTGCAGCCTGGCCAGCGCCGAGACGCGCCGAAAACTGGATGCCATGCTGCCGCTCAAGGTACGGAGTGGTGAGGGGAGAATGAGGATCGGTGAAATAGCGGACGGAACGTGCTGATAAAGTTGCTTTGAACAGTCAGCAATCACCCGTATAAAAAGATAACTGAAGGGGTTAGAGTAGCTTTGAACAGTTAGGTAACATCCGATTAAAAAGACATCTGAAGTGATTGGGATTTGATGACAAAATAACGATGCACTAGTCGGTAGTTATTATTCATTATATTTTGTGTGTGGTTTAGCCACAGTTCCAAGACTAGAAATGACACTTCGTCAATACTTGATGAAACTTAAGCATTTTGGTTTTAAGGGATCGACCACGCAGCCCTTAAGGCCGGAACACAGCACACGCTTGCAAATCGCGTCGAACTCGCGTCAAGCGCGGAAATCGCTTCGTCCGCTGTGTTTTCACTTGCAGTTCAGCTCACAACCCGCGTCGAAAACGCGTCCCGCTTGGAAAACGCTTTGCGCTCCCAAATCGCGGCTGAAACGCGTTGATTATTGATTGCACTTGACCTTTGCACGTGACATCTTAGCATATCAATGCGTCTGTTTCATGACAAAATTTTATGCGGCGTTCTTTCGATGGAAACTTTTTAGCTTTGGTATTTTCCTACATGCCGGGGTATGTCTTAAGCACAGCACGAGCCGGGCAGTAAAACTGTGACCAAGAAACTGTCGGTGTCAAAATGCCATGTTATTTGATAGGCCGGGCAAGAAACAAAAGTTTACTGCCTGGGTTTACTGCCCAGGGCAATGACCTCTAAACTACAGTTTATCGCAATAGCTCAGAGGTATACTTGACAGGGAATGTATAATTGACATCATTTTTGCATAATATTTGCCGCGTAAAATTAGAAAACTATCATTTTTGGTAAAAAAAAAATATCTGCTCTGCTTATCAAGGGTTTTGAAATATTTTGTATTGGTTACAAAGCCGAAATTATGGTAAGATATGCGCCTAGAAATCCATTATCGCTTGTTGTCTTATCTTTGTTTGATATGTCCACTGATACCTTGGGCCTAAGTTATTGCGTTAATATTTGACAGTTGTAGTCCTTTCCTCGAAACAAACACGTAAAATATGGAAAATATAATGTATTTCACGAAAGTTTAGCCATAGGGCATCAACAAAGTACGAATTACGATTACATAAATAAAGAAAAGATTCTTGCAAGAGCACTGGAAAATTCACGTTTAATCATTGGGAATATTATACCTTCTTCTTGTTCTTATCTCTTGGCAAATTATTCATGTATTATGTTCCTTGGATATCCAGTTGTTGTGCCATTCTGAGTTGATATTTTCAGACGCGATTCTTTTTGAAGTAAGGTATTTTGATGCATTTTCTTCTATAGATTTCCTTTATCCACAGCAGTAGCGCAATCACTGTTAGGAAATTATGGACAAAACAATTGTATAAAAGTGTCACCAAAACCTGTCGAAACTACTTAGGTATGCGGCATGTAGGAAAAATCTTACTGACCTCAGCCGTACGAAATTATTTGGAAACTCGGCTTGCAAAATTTGACTCCGGCCCTCGTGCTCCGCACTCGGGCCTCCGTCAATTTTGCAAACCTCGTTTCCAAATAATTTCGTCGGCCCGGTCAGTAATATATAATTAAATGACCTTCTCCTCGATCATTGATTAAAATCAGCACAGGTTAAAAGTTACTTTCTTTTGTAGGAAATTCCTTAAAAACAGCTGATGCCTTGCCACACAGGTAGTTCATCATGCCACATTGGAACTTACTATAATTTGTTCAGTCAATTTTAGTATTTTAGTCAGTATTTGTTTGCCACGTATCATGGTCACAATCGGTTGTTCAGAAGTTTTTTTTTTCAAACGAATACAACACCGCTCTTGCAAATCTAACAACTGTTATCGTTCAATCTAATCGAGCAATTCATTCAACCTAATAATCCAACGATTACCATCCGTTAGGAAACTACATGTTTCTCCTTTTGCGTTATGCAAATCACAGGATATGCTTAACCCTCGCCCGCACATATCATTTTCCTATCCTAGAACGCACATGGAGGGGGGGGGGGGGTTGCCATCCTCCCGCGCCATTTCGTTCCTGTTGGAGATAGAGCTTCGTGGTAGGGACCAAAAAGATTCTTTGGGAAGAGACAAATCCATGATACCCAGTTTTACCTTCTCAGGTCAGTCATTGACCTTCCAGGTCAGGTCAAACTAAAAAATGTTGCTGTTTTGGGTCACCGTTGGATATCAAGTGCGCTGCTCATCATATAGGTACCGATGACGATGCCGTTTTGTGGTGCCAAGCCAGTTAGAACCTCTTTGTCACACTATCCGACCAGGGTTTTGCTGCTGAGGTCCTTTCAGGTCAAGTTAGGTCAAGGTCAATGATATGTGTTTGCATGTCTGTGAGTGTATGTGTGTATAATGATGTGTGCACCGATTGTTTATGTGTCCATATTAAATGAGATCATGAAATGAGAAGGTTTTACCAAAAATACAGTCAAAGAAACTTCACGAAAAGTAAATTCAGCTTGCCTATATCGCAATGATTTGGTTGACCTTGACCCTGACCTTGACATCTGTACATCGTCGAACAACATGTTCCATGATAGGTGGAAGGTAAGACTGGCGAAACAGGTCAAAATCAAGGTGTCAAAAGCTCACAAGACCCATAGCCAACGCAACATATTAAGTATTTGTCATTTGGGTTATGACATGACCTGAAGAACAAGGTCAGTATCTCCTAAACCAAAAACCACAGGAACTTAAAATTTTCAGTGGACATCAAGAAAGGATAGAGGAGCAGCTATACGAAATCAGGCTTTTAGCTCTAAAAATGTTGAGTGCAGAGCAGAAAAACTACCTGGGGGGAGGGTGGCAACCACGATTCCCGGATGAAAAGTCAAAACGTTAAAAGTAAACGGATAAAAAGTCAAAGGACATTAAGTCAACAGACAGAAAGTCAACATCGCAAGAAGTCAAAGGACAAAATGTCAAATGAACAAAAAGTCAACCTGCCAAAAAGTCAACACGCCAGAAGTCAACAAGCTAAAAGTCAACACGCAAGAAGTCAAAAGACATAATGTCAAAGAGACAAAAAGCCGACATGTCAAAAAGTCAACGCGCTAAAAGTCAACACGCTAAAAGTCAACACGCATAAAGTCAACACGCAAAATGTCAACGCGCAAAAAGTCAACACGAAAAAAGTCAAGACGCTAAAAGTCAACACGCCTAAAAGTCAACACGCTAAAAGTCAACACGCGAAAGGTCAACATGCTAAAAGTCAACACGCTAAAAGTCAACATGCTTAAAAGTCAACACACTAAAAGTCAACACACAAAAAGTCAACAAGCAAATAGTTAATAGGTGCGCGAAAAGTTGATGCGCAAAATGTAGTCAACAGCAAAAAGTAGTCTTTAACAGCAGTCTTTAACTAAGTCGGTACAAGTAGGTACGCCGCAGCCCGCGTCTCCGGTCGGCGACTGACCCGCGCCGGGCCACCTGATCCCCGGCCGCCGCCCGCTGGGCGCCGGCTGCACCGCATAGCGCGTCTCGGCGCGTCCCCGTGCGTGCCCCGACACTACCGATAAGAACGCTCCTACCTATTTTTACTTTGCTTTAAAAAGTATATTGGGAATGTTAAGTTATCTATATAAAGTTGGCGTAATGTGCCTGCTGGTGGCGGGGGGGGGGGGGGGCAGTTCCGATAAGGAGACGTAGGGCGGAGGCGAAGATGAAGGAGAGGGACAGTAACTGGTGGCCACAATGCGCTATACTTGTCACCTCTCTTTGGACGTCACAGCTCCGATGTCCTAAAAAAAAAAAAAAATTGTGTTTTTAGCAATCGCATCTCGATAACTTAATTGACCTATACATTTCGATGAAAATTGGTCACCTTAATTGTATGCAGTCCGTACCTTTCGTTGAAAATTGGTCACCTTAATTGTATGCACTATGCAGTCCGTGAATATTAACCCTCGCCGGACCTATTGGTTTTCTACATACGCGCCGGCCGAGGGGGGGGGGCGGGTACGACCCCCTCCCCTCGCCGTTTCGCCCCTGGTGGAGCTAGCGCGTCGCGGAAAAAACGAGCGTGTGCGCCGTTACGAGACGCAGAGATTGGTACCCGATTTTAAGGTCCTAGGTCAACCGGTGACCTCTGAGGTCAGGTCAAGTGCCCCAAGGTACGGTTCAGTTTTTGGTGAATAACTTCGCAAAAAACGGCCGCAGAGCGCCGATTTTGGCAGCATCGTGTTCGTCTCGCTCAGGCGCGTCGAATGGTATACTTTTTGTCCGGGTCAGGTCAACTTGGGGTGTTGACCTCAGGTCAAGGTCAGGTCAGCACCCCCAGGTCACGAAGCTGGTCGAAAGAGGTCATGTCGCATATCATTCGATTCGGCAGGTCTTCCTGAGTCCATTGGTGGCTTTCCCGACTCGCTAGCTCAATTTGATCAAGAGTTATTGACGAAAAACTAATATGACCTTGATGACGTCATAAATGACGTCACGCAAGGTCAACATTGCAAAAGTGACGCATCTAACCTTGCAAGGAGTGCATCAAATCACGATTCTGTGTGCTTGAGATAATTGGAGATCGTTCCCGGCGCCAGAATAGCAGTTTTCATTTTTCCCCATTGACTTATAATGGTGAGGTCACGAAAATGACCTGACCTCATATGACCTTTAGGAAAAATCTGAGATATACAAGTTGTGGGACTCATAATGGATACTAGATCCTGCAAGTTTCATTTCCCTGTGACATCTCCTCTGGCAGTGAGGGCGTTGCGAAGTTGCGACATCTGAAGACCGTGCAGAGGTTCACTTATGACGTCATAGGTCAGTGACCTGACCTGACCCAAAAATGCGGTTGGTGTCAAAAGATCCGGCTTGGATCAAAGGTCAGGTATGCCAAGTTTCAGCTCTCTATCGCCAGCGTGTTCGGAGCTATCGCGAAAAGACCCTATGGGGGGGGGCGGCACCCGCCCCCCCCCTCGGCCGGCGAGGGTTAACAGGTTGTTGTCTGTTGATGCTGATATGAGCGTTCCTTTCAAGGCAGAACAATCCGACAATCACAC